TGTGTGTGTGTGTGTGTGTGTGTGTGTGTGTGTGTGTGAATTAGATTGCCAATAAGTAAAACGGGAAATTGTGTAAAAAATAAAAAAAGATTCCTACAGGGAGACCACATTATTGAACACATGATCAGCGACAACATGCAATGCTTTCATAAACCACCAGGGGACTGCAGACCACTGGTTGAAAATTCCTGGTCTAAACCAGTGAAGTGGATTTAAACTTGACTTAAGCCTAGAGCCTGTCTGACACTGGATTTGAGGTCCTTAGTTAATATTTGTGAGTAAAAAAAATCCCATTGGCTGATAAGTTTTTTTTTAGATAAAAATATACAAACTTTTTAAGGACAATTCTGTAAAGTTTGATTATTAAAGAACTGCAAACAAGATATGAAGTGAACACATTTCCCATTTGGAAAACTGCTTTCTAGTGGTCTACCTGCACACTTATCTTCCAGTGCATCTGATAAGATTTGATATCAGCCAATAAATTCACATGTATTTGAAGTGGACTTAAAAATGCAGTCACATGATCATTGTAAACATTTAAACAGCACAAGCAGAGAAGAATCAGCAAACTGACTCAGTCATGTCAGTGAATTCAAACTTTGCTTTGCAAGAGAAAGAATATTTGATTTGCTCTTACAGCCGTCACATTAAATATTGGTTACCATGATTTGCACATTTGCAGAATATCCACTCGGATAAGAAATAACACAACCCACTCAGCTCAGTTGTAATTTATGTTGTTTTATGTGCAGTGTCTCCACTGCCACAATTAAGAGTATATTCATCTAAAGGTTTACTCAGGTTCACCCCTGTAATTCTGCTGTAAGGCAGTTGCATGTTTACTATAAGTCCCTAAACAGCTTTGAATAAAGTGTGGGTTGGGTTTTCTTCAGGTGGTCTGGCTTCCGCCCGCAGTCCAGTGACACACAGATTGGTCACCAGCTCTGACCATCTCCACTGGCTTCTTAAACCTTATGGGTTTAGTTTTCCAGCCACAAATCTGCACTCTCAGTCAATCTTGTTTCTAGTTTTCCTGCTGTGATAAATCTAGTGGCAGCTTGTTTTGCTGCCCTTATGTGGCAAAAATATACATAGTTGAATGTCTTATTTTTGTGTTCCCTTTATTTTTTTGAGCAGTGTACATAAAAATAGTAATCTCTAAACCTGAGCAGACATTTGATAGGTGACATTTTTAATAATCATTGCTACAGACACAATAGGGTTAGTACCTGTTCAATACCAGGCCCAGAGGCATGCTGGATGTCACCATGCAGTTTGCTACAAGCTAAAACTGAAGTGCAGCCATACAAGATGAATGTTTGTACAACGTGTGTCTCCATTCTGCATTCAGTTGATATCCTAAATTAGAGTTGTGATAGTCCAGATCATTTCTACTTCATGAAATACATTCCATGAGATCTTAGCATCCAAGATGTAAATAGACTGATTGTGATCAATTTCTGAAATCTCTCTCAGCCTTTTGATTTG